GGGTGCCGGGGCGTCCTGGGGCGCCCCGCCCGCCTGCCCTGGCCCGGGAGCCGCGCCTGAGCTCCTGGGGAGCGTGGTTCCCGACACAGATCCCTGGGTTACCCCCCCTTACTGCCCTAAGATGCAGTCGCCCCCGCATTCACTTCAAGGGAGAACCCGCGACGCTTCTCTGTGGACGTCACTCCAGGCCTGCCCTGGGCCGCAGGCATCCCCAGAGCCCCAGAACCCCGCAGTGCCCCGGACGACGCCCCCTGCGTCCCTGGAGCTGGCTGCAGTGTACCAGGTACGCGTGGAGGCCTCGTGCTTCCCTCCGTGTGGTCTCTGGGCTTCTGTTGGAAATGAGCCTCTGGTCTGCAGAGAATCCCATACTTTTTCGGTTCCCGGTTATCTGATGGATTTGGGAATGGAAGGAATTCCGACCTCCTTGAGAGAAGTGGGGCCCTGGAGAGCTAGAGCCACCATCACAATCAGGACCACTGCCACCCAGTAGGCTTCATAGCCTTGGGAACGAGGGGGTAGCCCCTGGACTTTCTCAGAGGGTGGAAGGCAGCAGGATGGGAGGTTCTGTCAGGAAAATGGCTCCGAGTGCTGCCTGAAGGGTGCAGTGGGGAGAGGAAGCCCTGGGGGTGAGCAGATGGGCTTGGAGCTGGTGACTTCATGTGTCCTTCAGGCTTCACTGGTTTGTGAGGCCCGTGAATGACTTATGTTCCATAAAAGATTGTCTTGAAAGATCCTGGGCAGGCATGGTGGCTTACGTCTGTAATTCCGGTATTTTGGGAGGCAGAGGCAAGAGGACTGCCTGAGCCTAGGGGTTTGAGACCAACCTGGGCAACTTGGTGAGACCTTGTCTCTACAATAAATCAAAAAATTATCCAGGCATGGTGGCACCTGACGGTGGTTCCAGCTTCTTGGAAGGCTGAGGTGGAAGGATCACCTGAACCCAGCAGGTTGAGGCTGAGGTAGCTGTGAGTGTGCCACTGTACTTCAGCAACGGGTGACAGAGTAAGACTTGCACTGGAAAAAAAAAAAAAAATTTTGGCCTTGACCATTGACTCTCCTCCCAGGGTTGAGACTGGGCTGGCCACTCGGATTCCACATCCCCAGCCTTGGATTTGTTCAGCCAGAACATATTTCAAACACTTTCCATGTGCCCAACACCATTCCTGGCACCTTGCATATCTTAATGTATTCAACCCTCCCAACGGCCCTCCCAACAACCCAACAACCCTAGGGTGTTACCATCATCCCCATTTTGCAGATGAGAAAACTGAGACTAAAAGAGGTAACCTGAGTTTTCAGGTGAGTAGCAGAGCTGGAATTTGAGCCTTGGCGTTGTGTCTCAAGAGCCTTGGCTCTTAGCGACTTGGCTTTGCTGCTTCCACAGCACTAGAGCTGTCCAGACACTGCCAGCCACACCCTGGGGAGCAGCCCAGGGATGTCCAAGATCTTTGGACATCAGGTAGTGGCCCACGAAGTAGCTGCCCTCTTCTCTTGCAGGGTGTCTCTGTGTCTCCGGAGTCCTGCCTGTCTCTGGGAACCCCATCTCTACTGCCCCGTCCATCATGCCAGAGACTCCAGCCTCAGGCCCAGTGGGAATGCTGGAGCCACAGTGCAGAGGTGCTGTCCAGCTCGGAGGACCAGGGACCCCGCCCTGCCTTCCAGCTCAGAGAAGCCAGCCCTCCCCAGAGCTCAGGCCTGCGGCTCAGTGGCTGTCCTGAACTTTGGCAAGAAGACTTGGAGGGGGCTCCCCTGGATATCTTCTACTAAATGGCCTTGCCTGCCCCCTTTTGAGCCAGGAACCAGGCCTGTAGTGTGGGCACTTCCTCATTTTCTGCTTCGGTAGTTTCTTGAGTGTTCCTTTAGCCAAGGATCCCTTTTCCCAAGGGATGTCTTTCATGGAAGCAGCGTTCAAAATAGATCTTGGGTATCCTCCCTAGCTGGAGTGGGGCTGGAGCTGTGCCATCCATTTCTAGATGCTCCCAGAATGCCCAGCGCTCTGCAGAGCAGAGTCTGAGCTGCTCTAGGAAGGGGGCTGCTGGACCCCAAGGTTGGGACTGGTGGGGAGCAGGTATGGAGGGCTCTGCTTTTTGGTGACTGTTAGCCAGAAGCCTGTATGCTTAAGACTTTTTGTACTTTAAGAAAAAACAACAACAACAAAAATTTGGTTTGGTCTGTTTTTCTATCAACCTGAGTTTTTCTTACCTGATCCACTAGTCCTGCTGCCTGGAATGTGCTGTCTTAAGTAAGAATGAGAGGCACTGCCAGGATCTTGGGGAAGGGATGCCGTGACCTGCTAGAAAAGGCTCTCTTGGGCATGGACGCCAGAAGCAGTGGTGGCTGCCTTCTGTATGGCTGGCTCGGGTTGTGGGGGGAGAGTTGCAGAAGAGGTGACCTTGGAGCCGGGTGTTGAAGGATGTGTAGGAGTCTGCCAAGAGGAATGAGGGAAGAGCGACCCAGGCAGAAGAAATGGCGTGAGCCAAGTTGAAACAGAAGTGTCTCACGTCAAGAGTTGGCAGGGGAGAGTGACGAATTGAACTGGGAAAGAAGTTGGAGGCAAGGCTGTGGGGAGCCCCATGCAGTTATGGGGGATGCTGAGGGTCGGGAGTGGGGTGAGCTGGTCAGAGCTGCTCTTGGTCGCTTTGGGTGCTTCATAGAACTGGAGTGGGACAGGAGGCCCCTGGCACAGTTCAGACTGAGAGAAGGGAGAGAGGCCATGCAGAGTACCGGCTGCCTGATTTCCTGGACCTGCTGGCGTGCCCTGTGGCATCAGGCAAGTTACTCCCTGAGTCACAGTTTCCCCACCTCCTGAAGGAGGAACTGGCTTAGGTGATCACTGAGGTGCCTTCTTCCTCTAACATAGAAGTAGTCTAGAAGTAACCTTCTTTTTTTTTGAGTTGGAGTCTCACTCTGTCGCCCAGACTGGAGTGCAGTGGCCGCTCCCAGCCACCGCAGCCTCAACCTGCTGGGCTCCGGCGATCCTTCTGCCTCAGCCTTCCAAGTAGCCAGAATTACAGGCATGCGCTACCACGCCCGGCTGATTTTTTGATTTATTGTAGAGATGAGATCTCGCTGCCCAGGCGGGTCTCGAACCCGTGGGCTCAGGCAATCCACTCACCTCAGCCTCCCAAAGGTGCAGGATTACAGGCTGAGCCACTGAGCCCGGCTAGAAGTAAACTTCTACAAGGGCCTTACTGTGCCTAGAGGCTATCAGCCACAGCCAGAGGGATGAGAAAACCCCAGGCAAGGTTAGAGTGGAGACAGAGAGTCCGGGGTCTGGTTGCACATCCACATGGCTCTTAACTCACTGGGTAATCCAGGCAAACTTTGAAACCTCCCTGAGCCTCAGTTTCTTCAACTATGAAATGGAGGCGATGATACATCCTACCCCTCAACGCTCTTATACTTGGCACATAGTAAGTGCTCAATACAATGAGTAGCTAGGTAGTCATATTACCTAGAGATGACCTGGTCTAGGGGTTCCCAAACCAGCCACCTAGTTCCAGGGTCATATCTGAAAGTGTCACTCGGTGACTTGGGTTCCCGGGTTATAGCTCCAGGTTCCTGGGCTTTAACAAGATCTTCTCCAGGGGATTCTGAGGCCCAAGCAGGGGTGGGAGCAATGGATATTCTTCACCCATTCATTGTACGGCTGAGGAAGCTGAGGCCCAGGGGCGGGGCCAGCAACTTCCCCTAGCCCTCCAGTGAGGTATGCACTTCTGTAACTCCTAGCCCAGTGCTCCCTCCTTCCCAAGAAGACCTAAGGTCTCGGTTTCGCAATCTCTCAGCATCTACACTGAAAGCAGAATGGACCAACTGCCCTGTCTCCTTCCTTTGGCTCCCACCTATTGGGGCGAAGCCTGGTGGCAACAGAGGAAGGTCGTTCCCAGCCACGGTTCTCAGCTCCAGGTCTGTGGCAGCTGGAGTGGAGTCCAGGAGAGGGCTGAGATGAGCATCTTCTGGAACTCAGCAGCTGTGTTCTCCAGTCCCCTCCACATGTTCCTCTGAGGCAAACAGAAGCAAGAGGGCCCCATCAGCCCAGCCAAGGAACCACGTGTGGATCACCAGCTGGAGTTGGCATCCTAGGGGCTGCCAGGGTTGGGGGAGCCAGGCCCAGGCAGGCTCGGGGCCAGCCTAATTCCCCCACTCCTGTCCTCAGTCTCTGGGAGGGAAGGCTCAGTCCTGTCTTTCAGAGCCGTCTCCTGTCCATCTGCCCATCCGTCTGTCCATGGCTGTATCCCAGGCAAGCTTCTGCAAGCAGGGGAGGGAGGGGACTGATGCTACCCACATCTTCTTCCTGGGGACCCAATCACCACCCACAAGAGACTGGACATTCAGTACCTCACCAACCTTTCAGTGACTCAGTGCTGGTTTTGCATTAGGGCAACTGTGTTATGGTCCAAGTAAAACGCTCGGCTATGCCCCTTGATACCAATAAATCAGAGGGGCAGGGAACTGGTAGAAAGTTTATTTTTGAGTTCGAATCCAGGGCTCGAGGTCTTTCAAAAATGGTTCTGCTCTTCTTCTAGGCTTTTACAGTTCACTTTTATAGTCCAGAGTTGTTAGTATCTATACATTAGCTATATGACCAGCAGAGCATTGTATAAAACTTGAGTTTTAGCCACATTTATTGATAGTGACGTTTTTCTGTCCAGTCTTCCTGGTGCCAGGTATTAGGGGTATCTCATAGATTTTTTTTTTTTTTTTTGAGTTGGAGTCTCACTCTGTCGCCCGGACTGGAGTGCTAGTGGCCGCTCCTGGCCACCGCAGCCTCGACCTGCTGGGCTCCGGCGATCCTTCCACCTCAGCCTTCCAAGTAGCTGGAATTACAGGCATGCGCTACCACGCCCGGCTGATTTTTTGATTTATTGTAGAGATGAGGTCTCTCTGCCCAGGCGGGTCTCGAACCCGCAGGCTCAGGCAATCCATTCACCTCAGCCTCCCAAAGGCACGGGATTACAGGCTGAGCCACCATCTCATAGCTTTTATCAGTAGGGCCTGACAGAAGCAGCAATCAAGCTTGCCGTGGAGTAAAAGGCCTGAGACATCATGCATTACACAAAGGTTATACTAATCACAAAGCTTATGGTTACATTGATACAAAATTATATAATTCACAAGGCTTACAATTACATTGATACTATATTATTCAACCTTATAACCACTCAGAAAAAAAGGAAGTAAAGGGAGATGTGCATCTTTCAGTTGATGGGGCATAGATGACAGGGAAGTCAATGATCCCCCGAAGCTACTCGCTAGGAGTACATAGGAGATAAGGGAAGCACACCTTTTATTAGCTCTCAGGAATATTGTTCAGGAATGTACAGGAGCGCCTGAGCCCTGTGCACGCCCTTCTCTAGGGGCTGTGACAATGTTGAAATGTCTGTAAAACTTATAATAGCCTGTAATAGCTTGCTTGATATAAGTAACTGATTTTTGTTAAAAATCCTCCATCTTAGCTGCTTGCTACCCAGATATAGCTCCCCCACTCCACGTGTGACTAAAATAAGTTCCTTATACTCACAGACACCCACATTCCTGTTTCCCTTAAGCTGTTTCTCCTGACGGTTTGGAAACTCCCTAGCCACAGTTCCATGTAATTGTATGCTTTGTTAACTGAACTCAAATGTTACATTTTGCAAAACTCCATTGTTACATTCTCATATTATAAGCCTATATTTTGTTAGTGACCTAACCAAGGTAACTTTGTGACCTAACCAAGGTAACTCCATTGTATAGTAGTCCTTCCACCTTATGTCCATGTAACTGCCCTAATTGTTCCAGTCACTGGCTGTGCCTGGGACATAGAGTTAATCAAAACTCCCTAACAATCAAAAGTTCCCATTTTGGTTGCAAGTTGCTAGTTTATGGTTACTCTGGCTGCTAAGTTGCTATGTATCCTTGTGGTTTTTGCCCACCGCCTGCTTCACTTGGGGTCAAGAGCCCTTTAGGACAATAGTGCACTCTCCGTCGCTGGCATAAATAAAGGACTTTTAATTAAATTCTCTGAAATGGCAATCCACCTTCTCGCACTCCGGTCATAACATTTGGAGGCCCCAAGGAGAAGTTGCCAACTTTGGGAGGCAAACCTCGTTCTAACTCTCCCCAGTCCAACAGGGAGTTATTGGGGAAGCACCCCCTGATTTATTCAGGGTCCCATAACCTCTCATCTGGCTTGGAGGGGGTTGGAACAACTGCTGACTCCTCTCATCTCAAAGAAACCTGAGTCCATCTGCATCCTCCCAGGAGGTAAGAATTTGTTCTGTTTACCAGTAAAAATCTGTTCTGTTTTGCTTGTGACCACAATTCTGTTTAAGGGAGTAATAGCCTGATGAGGCTGCCCTTTGGACATTATTCATTTGGTTGGCTGAATAGAGTCCTCTGGTTTTCTGCCCTGAAGCTGTGCCTGGGATCCGTGATTTTCTGCCCTGAAGCTACACCAGGGATCTGTAACTTTCCTCACTTGGTCTGGACACATCTTATTTGTCATTGTGTTGGTTTTTTTTTGTCTGTCATTTAATATGGGGGTCACAGGTTTCTTGACCCTCTAGTCCCCTGGATTGTATAATAAAGAATTTTCTCCTTTAAACAACAGAGGATGAAAAAAAAAAAAAAAAGCTTCAGGAGCCACACTTACCTCACCCCCTTCTGAAATGCCTGTAAGCCAGGGAATTAATTTCACTGACAGCGGTTTGTAATCAGCTATAATGCTTTTCACTGCCAAGTTGCTTATGGACTCCAAAATCTCCTTCTAAGCACAAGGATTATTA